TTAGTTCTTATTAACCGAGCGGGAGGTCTGTATGGGAGAATCTTGACCGAGGTCGCCAGTACAGACCGAACGCAGTGAGGTCTGTACCAGCGACCGAGGTCAAGATTCTCCCATACAGACCGACCTAGCTCGGTTAATAAGATGTTTATTATATGGCTGTGTCTTATATGCCAATTTTTTATATTCTTTGTACCTTTTTTTTCTAGACCGGTCTAGATGCCGGTCTAGATGGGAAAATCTAGACCGCTTTCAATATTGATTTCAGCCAATCAAATTCGTGAATTCGGTAGTTCCCAGTCCTTGTGAGACACAGCCATATAATAAGTAGCGATATGAATTCAATAAAGCTACTGGATAAATTCAGGCATTTTATAAGGATTCCTATGAGCGATAAAATTATAACTGGTTCCAAGAGATTTACAACAATTGAAGGTGTAGTGATCGGGCCAATCGTCTGTCGCGACATCTCTCCTTTCTTTCGTGCTGCTTTCCACGAATAACTGCTGAAGGCTTTTTCTGTATTTAGAGAACAATTACTGTCCAATGGTTTCATCCTTTAACTGACAAGATCTGATTGTTAATTCTCTCCTCTGGCTGCTACACAATTCCTTGTAAATTAGTAACGAGAATTTGGTGCTAGATCTAAATAAAAACTTCTACCTGGTCAGTTTAAACATTGTCATTGCGTGGATAATGTATGCATATCAGATGGAGAAGATGGAGTTAAGTCACATCTAGGAGTTAAAGTGTTAAAAGAGCACAACCAAAGCCTTTGCCAGGCTAATGAACAAATTACCTGTTTTGTTCTTGATTCTTGTCTTTCATCAGCCTTTCAAGGACGTCTTCTTGTTCAATATGAAACACATGTCCTCTTTTTCGAATGCTGACGATTGGGAATCCTTTCTGATCCGTCCACACTTTCATAATTTTTTTCACGTTGATATTTCCGCTGGCCTAATGGCGTGATAAAAAACAAATAGAGTTTCAACTTGACAAAGTTTTAAGGAGGCTATAGTTGATGTTTTTCATTTTAAGTTGACATTACCACAGATGGCGACCTTCAAATCTTATCAGTACTTGCGTCTTAAGGTCAAATTTGTCGTTCGATCTCAGCTGGAGGCAAAAGGATTCTGCAGGGGAGAAGGCCACCAGTCTTCCCTTACAGTTGGGTCGTAGCAGAATGAGCGCAGAATAGCGCGTAGCTCAGACTTCTGAGCCACGGTGTACGTCACATCCGAAAGAATTCGATGGTACCTCAAATATGGTGCAAAATTAATGAATACTGAGATCTCCTTCTCTAAAGCGTATCTCTACATCATCAAATGTGAGCTTTGGCCCATGAATGCAAAGCTTTAAAGATCAAAGAGAAGTCGGCTATTGGCAACAATGAAAACCTCAACGATGCAAATAGGGCCTTTCAACTAGAGTGCTCAATCTGCAAAGTTTCCGCGGAAAGTAAGGTGATAAACACTTTCCCACGAACAGAGTATGGGAAATCAACCGAGCTTAGTAGACATATTCACTCATTATCAAAATAACTACTTCCAAATTCATTTTATCGATAAAAACCGACAACTGAACAAAAACAGCTAATGACATGCTAACCTCGCCAATAGCATCCCACAATTCCTCTGCATCAGCATTACCATATTTGTAGGTCTCTAGGTAGCGCTGTTGAAAGATGTCCATTCAAGAAAATGAGTTGTACCCATCTATATGAGAGTAATATTCAATTGAGTATCAGCTAACTGCCTCCCGGTTAGCTCAATGGATAGAGCGCTAGACTGTAGTGCGGCCGGAACAACACTCAAGGTCTTAAAATAACTGGGGATATGCTGCCTTTCTATGATATCAAGAAACGGTTAGACATTCTAGTCTTCTCGGATAGGGACGAATAGATGGAGGTCCTGTCTCCTGCAGGGTTAGGGGTAGGAGACGTTAATTTCCCATGCACGAGATTATTGTGTGATGGATGTCCTCCCCTGGGGTGGGATGGGTGGGTTACTGGGCCCGCAGTGATTGGCGCAAAGCGGTGTTGCGGTGTCCCTGCCTGTCGGCAAATCTTGTAAATAAATAAATAAATAAATAAATAAATGAACAGTTGAAAAGCTGACGTTTCGAGCGTTGGCCCTTCGTCGAAGCGAATGACGAAGAACCAACGCTCGAAAGGTCAGCTTTTTAACTGTTTACGGTGGCCTATTTACAATTTCAACTTAGTTGATAAAAACAAATTACCTCGTTACACCCCACCAACGCAGCACCACAGTTTCTCTAGAAACTTATCCCCTTTATTTACGAGTATCATGAACGGTGTTTAGTTTTAAACAAAGGCTACATTTGGAAAGTACTCTTCGTGTAAACTAGAATTCCTGACATGTTTACCTTGACCCCGTTCAAGAACTTTTCCACACCGAGAAAGTTCATGAGCATACGGAGAATCATCGCACCCTACCGAAAAAAAAGAAAAGACAGATAAAAAATCTTAACGAACAGTTAGTACTGACTTTGGAAACACTAACTGAAAAAGGCGGATCATTGTTAGTATCTAAACAACTACGCAACTATCCCTCCCCTAACTCAACATTAACCCCAACTTGTTATGAGTTGACTGTAGCTGGGCTAGGGCAGGGGTGGGTGCGCAGTTTCTTAGATACTGACATTAGTCCATAACTCCCATTTTTTTAAAGTCGTGTTTTGTTTATGGACAGCTGCACGTGAATTAAATGTCTGATCTGTCAATTTAGTTCTAAGGAAATAATAATATATTGTTGAATCCACTTCGCTGAAATGATCTGTAGTAAACTAAAACGGTGAATACTGGCTGATATCTGGATCATGTCATCCACTTTCTGTGAGTTTTTTTGAAATGTTAGGACCGCAAATATTTTACAACTGTCAAGAAAATTGTGATCTTGTATGCGTTACTTCTCAGAGAGAAATTAAGGAATGCTATTCTTTAGGCTCAGGCTTGAAAAAGGACTGGCCACGAGAAACCTCTCTTGCACATGCTAAATTTTCATGCCAGCAGTCTAGAAATACAGCCTGATCATTCAGACCACATGACTGTATCATCAAAATCAAGGTAGCTTCCCCCAGTGAGAGAGGGACGGAGAAGGTAGGGGTGGGGGTGGGTATAGGATGTATCGCAGGGTAGTCCCGTTGAGGCAGTTAAACCCTGATCCAGCATCCCTGTGTAATACATCAGATTGAGTAAACGGAGAGTTAACCTCGTCTTAAAAAATAATACAGAGCTTTGGAATGAGACACAAAACTACCGTTAGTACCATACACGTAAAGTAAGCAAAGTTCAGTTCACACCCCACTCAAGTCTTCAAGCTCAAAAAGACCCAAAGTGGCTGAACATAACAACTTTTAGGCCGCATGACAAAGTCTCCTATCCCTCCATCCTCCCCCCCCCTCACCCCCATCAAGGAGCAGCTCTTACTTGAGTGCCGCTCCTTGGAGTGAAAAGAAAGGAAAAAAGAAATCAGGGGAAAAAACTCAGAGCTACACCCAGAAAAGCTAATCTCCCACGAACTTCCCGGAGTCCCCCCCCCCCTCTTCCTTATCTGGGAATCCTCCTTCCCAGGGGAATCAACACCACTATAAAAAGGGCCTTAATCCAGGGCTGTGGCCTAGCAGTGCCCGGTGGCCCCTGGCGCCTTACTCCAGGGCTGTGGCCTAGTAGTGCCCGGTGGCCTCTGGCGCCTTACTTTCACTCTTGGGAAACTTAGGAATTTTAGTTTTTTCAAATAAAAGCATATGCCGGGTACCCTGTAATTCAAAGTTTCAGAGCAGTGGGCTCCCTTCACTTTTTCTTAGAGCACAGCATTGCCTTAATCCGCAGCTACATGAGAGTCTACGGATGTCTTTAGATACCTTCTGATAGGATATGGCGTCAAATATGTCATCAATCTCTTCCGGTTTCTGAACTTCAACGCTGATTGCATGAGAGGACCACATAGAGTCACCGTGTAAGGCAGACTGCCAGCTGGTAGATACAACTGTCTCGCGCTGAAAAAAGAAAAACAAAATAAAAAAGAACCCACCATTACCATCCCTACTATTAGCGTTCTCCTTCGCGGGCGGAAACCCGTAGTGTAGCTGTATTCTCCTCCCGTTGAGGAAAAACGTTTCTCCTTGGGGGTGTAAAAGGTACGGCCACGCGTAAGCTATACCTCTCATCACCGCATGAAATCGCTTGAAATCCTTAAAACTCAATTCAGGTAAACGGATTGTTTTGACGATTTGAAATTTCTTTTTAAGCTGCCATGCTAAGCATAAGGGGGAACACTGACCTTTAAACGGCTTCCAATCTAAGAGAAAAATTTTCAAGATTCTTGACAAGATTGATATTTTTCCCCAAGTCATTTGACATTTTTCCAGTTATCTTTGATTGTAATTGATTGTTATGGGTCGTTTTTTCAGTAAGATTAATCTTCTCCTCAATACAATCCAAATAAGTTAGGAGTTTTGCTCGGCGAACGTTTATCGATGAAATCTTTATCCAACAAACTAAAACGCGAGATATCGATTAAAATCGAAAGCGATAGATAACAATAGATAGTGAACCGGGTAATTAAAGACAAGAATCGCGCGCTACCGAAGGATCATCGATAAAAAACTAACAGTTGGTATCGTTTTTTCAGCACCGATCGATCTGCACCGATTGGTAAGGTGGAGAATAAAAATGTATCAACTGGTTAAGCTCCATCACGTTTATCATAGTTTACCATGTCCCAGCCCTTCATCACATAATTAGCTCCAAATTCATCCTCGACAAAGACAGCAAATCCCTCGTTTAACCACAAGTCGTTCCACCATCTTGGCGTCACCAGGTTGCCGAACCACTGAAACAAATAGCATTATGTTGTGACCAATTAACCCCTTTAACTCTCATAAGTAATAAACAAGTAGTATCTACCTAAAATATCCATATATTATCCAGCAAACAGGTAATGAGAATACTCAAACTTATCAGTACATACATATCTTATTATTAAAAACTGGATCATTGGATAATGCAATTCAAGACTTTTTATTTGCTTAGCCATTATGGTATATGAGCCAATATACCATAATCTACAAATATGGTAAGCGTACGCGTCAGTTTAAAATTAAAAGGGAGCTAAAAAATCCGGTCTCTTCTCACAAAATAATAATTTCTTGAGGGCGTTTTTAATAAAAACAATTATTCCACTCGCGCTTGTTGGATATGAGATGATTATAGCCAACTCGGCGCTACGCGCCTCGTTGGCTATCTATCATCTCATATCCAACGCGCGCTCGTGGAATAATTGTGAATTAGACGTTTTGTTGTGTAGTATCGCAGAGTATTTTTACGAGTTGTGTCGTATTTTGACGAGCCCGTATGGCGAGTAAAATACACACAACGAGTAAAAATACTCTGCGATACTACACAACAAATCATTTAATAAGAGATTCATTGTCCAACAAGCCAAACTGTTATTTCAGTGCGGGCGAATTTCGCGGATATTTCTGGAGTACAAATATCGCGTGATATTTGTACTCGTCGCGCGCGTTATTTGTACTCCGCGAAGCACATTTGGATAATAAAAGTTGTTATCTTGATCTTACGCCAAATTCTTATAACTAAATTACTTAGAAATGTGTTGCCAAGGGAGAATTAACAAGCTGATCTTGGGAGTTAAAGGGTTAAATGCAGCTCAGCCTACAAGGATCATCTCTTAGCTAGAACAGTTTTGATCAATGAATCAAAAAACGAAGAAAAAAAGAAGAAAATAAAAAAACTTGTAACATATAAGAGGTGCAACAAGCCCCATTTATCCGTTATCTTGATTAAACACCAAATTCTTGTAACTAATTGACAAAGAAATGTGTAACAGCTAGAGGGCAAAATTAATAATCCAGATTACTTGTCAGAGAGGACTTACCTGATGAGCTAGCTCGTGCGCTATAACCTTAATCATTTTCACTTTGGCATCGGTCGAAGTAAACTGTTCATCATACACAAGCAGAGCACGTCGGAACATCACCAGGCCCCATTCCTCCATTGCACCATTTAGGAAGTCGGGAACTGCTAACAGATCTGGAATAGAGAGACAACAAACATAGTTCGGTTTCTGTGAAAGTCGATTTTATTCAGTGAATGACACAGGCATACTCGGAAAAAAGCACTCCGAGTGCTCTCAGTAGCAGTCGAACGTAGACAACCTAAGACCTTCTGATTATTACTTCGGATGCTCTAACACTTAACAAATGGTAAACACCACAGCGCTCACTAATGACTTATGGATGCACGCGGGAGGTTGCTAAGCGCGAAAGAAGGGTGAGAGTTGTGCGAGGCGATAGCCGAGAGCGCCTCTAGCTTTTTGAGTGCTCAGCAAAACTCCCAAGTGCATCCATAATTCAATAGTGCACAATGGGGCGTTTACCATTCGTTTTATAACATAACATTGATACATTATAGCAAAAGAGTTTTCTTTTATTTAACAAATCTTACGTGGCCAGAAAAAACAAGCGCGCGCGGAAAACTAGTCTTTGCATTTGCTCACGTCAGCAGTGTACACCCATGGGCAAATGGGGGACGCTAAATTGACCAATCAGAGCGCGCGCTTTACTTTGGTTATGTTATAATGAGCTATAGGAGACTCGTGTCATGCTGGCCGTTGAACTAGGTCTACGGTGGCAAACTTCCTGCATACTTCTAGGATAGGAATGTCCATAAGCAATGCTTCTGTGCAAAGATGACTTAAATGTAGACGGTAAATTTTAAGCCTGGCGATTTAAGTGAAAGTCGATGTTATCCAGTGAATGATACAGGCACACTCGGAAAAAAAGAACTCTTGAGTGTTCTTCCGCTTTCGTTTGAAAAGAGCGAAACGCTCTCCTATCTGAAAACCTTTATAGTAGCCGCTTGACTCACCAAGTTTGAGGAGAGGGAAGGGCTCTCCGAACAACTTTTCATAAAAAGACAGCACTTTAACACCAGTCTCCAGTGCATACTCCAAACGGTCAAAATCATTAGGTGGGGCATGAACCCTAACCTACCAATGAAAACAATGGAGAAAGTTATTCCAAAGGGAGATAGCGCTAATCAGGTGTAAAAGTTAACCTAGATTTGGGTTTTTGCTGTGTTCAAACGAATCGCAAGGCTAACGTTCGGTGAAGATTTTAAATTATCAAAGGACAATAGCAAAAAACTTAATTGGGGTACATGCAAAATTGTGGTACCTGCAAAATTCCGTACAAAATTTTAGACTGCTCTATGCAGTCTGGCCAAGGTCCCCCGCAAAGAGTTGTAAAGTGCATTAGAGCATATAAGTATGAGTAATGCCCTATTCCTTTTCCTCATTATAACATAAATTCATCATCTACCCTGGGCTTGCTTAATCGTGCCTCAACAAATTCATAATATCATTGTTTACTCTCCCCAGAATGTAAATATGTTGAAGCCCTAACATCAGTGACTGAAAATTCCACGCAAATAGGTTTCAATAATACTATTGATCACACAAGGCCCAAGTAACCCGATAACATTAGCAAGCCTTGAAGGAATGGATAAAAACCACCATTCGTTACTCTTAAAACACTACATAAGTCGAGTCTTTTGGCTGTGAGTCTCCTTAACAGCTGTTTATTACTCTTCTCTCATCTTTTTTTTTTCTCTCTTCTCCCCCCCCCCCTGCCGCCTCTCATAAAGCGTCGCGTGACTCTACATATGCCACACTGTGATGCACCGAAAAAATGACGTCACGCAATATGAAAATTACTTTTCGCGTGCGTGATAGGACTCGCTAATCACTTGATATTTCGCCAGCAAAACTTCAAGATAATCAGAATAACAGGAAAACTCGAAATCTTTTTCTAAACTAGCCTGCTATTTCATAGTTAATGAACAGGCAGTCTTTTAATGACAGAAGGTCAGACGTTCGATTAATTCTCGTCAATTCCAGCCTGAGTTTCAAATATCACGATTGCTCCTATTCAAGAACACCAAATAAAACACACTTGCAAGGAAGGCACAAATCGCCAGCACAATGAATAACTTCCGTTTTACTTTTTCAAGTTCGGCTGAAATTGCTTGGTGGCTGGTAGATAATGCGACATTTTCCCTTGGAAATTCTTCCTCAGGTAAATCGCATTTAAGGAACTCGCACAGAGGTTCCCAGCCTTGTTTAACGTTGTAGATCAGTAGCTTCTCCCTTGGTATAACAGTCTGTACTCGCTCGTTATGCTCGCGGTATTTCTTCTTAAAAAGTGACGTCGATTTCCAATTTAAGCTTCCAAAGCAGACCTTTATGACTAGTCGGACGAATTATGTTTTCTTCCATGTTTCCGCTGCTTTACTCGGAGCGAAGATCACACCAAGAATTGGTCTCAGCCAAAGAAGAGCGACTCTGTTTACAAATCCACCATAGGTACTGATGATTTCAACTAGCTTAGAAAAGCTCTTCACCCAAACCTCTTCGTTATCTCGGAGAGAAAGGATAACTTTCGCATCAGGAAAAGCTTCGTAGATTTCCCGAAACCAATGCGCCGCTGGGATATCTGTGACAGCGTCGACATCTTTATACATGGCGATAAAATCAGGATCTTTACCTTCGCAGTAGATAGCGAACCACTCATTGGAATGCAAGTTTCGGTGTTCAAAATAATCATATACAGTATAGCCCAGGGTTCTCAAGGCTTTGGCCAGAGTTTTCGTGCCAGTTTTACTCAAACCGGCACAAATGACCTTCATTTTGATCGTTAAGGATTATTGCACTTGCCCTCAACACGAACTTCTTAGATCAGATCTCCAAAGTACCTCTCACCTTCCTTTACAGATGACGTAGGAGAGACGTAGGAGACCCCATTGTTTACATTTTTCAGAATCATTTTGGGTGTCACGAAAGCTATCTTTTTATTCACAAGAATTTTCGAAACCAGTCTTTTTTTTCTTTGCAATTAGTTTCTGATTTAAAGCTGTTGCTGCATGCTTATTTAAGAATAAACTTTGCCCCGACATTTCCTGCTAAAAATAAAATAAATGTGTGCTGCACGTTTGTCGGTGTTGTGGTGAAGGATATACGCGCAAATTTTAACTTCGATTTTTCGCGCATGATTGCTTATCTAAAGATCCAAATCATCAAAAAATTTTCTTGGTAAAGCTTTCTATGCGATCCTTCACCGAACGCCTTTGGTCTTACTGCTAATGCCATCGAAATTCTCCGCCTAAGGATGAACCGGTGAAATTTCCAGCGAACCAAAACCCGTAAAATTTTTTGCAAAAAAATCAACCAGGCGTAAAGGCCACTACATCCAGTCTCACTACACACTGTGCATGTAAAGTCCGTAAACACTTAAACAACAACATTATCACTCCTTACATTTCATGCAAATCCACAAAAGCTACTATGTTCACAAGTCTGTCTGCGTCAAGTATTAAAGCCTCTTGACCCAAATTGACCCAAGGTGGTCGGTAAGCCCGGTTTAAACGTAAAGAAATGATTGTTTTTTCGCTTACAACAAAAGGCTAGCCCTAATATTGGGCTCGCACCCCAAACAAATTATGTTACCGAGAGAAAAATATTTTCCCGTCCGACCCGACCCAACCAAGTCAGTACGCATTTTATCATTGGACCGTCGCTCTTCCCTTTACTCTGTCAGCTGGCATATAGGTATCAGAGGGGCCGCACAACCCTCTAAGGCCCTGCCTACGCTATCGTATACGGCCTTCAAATAGGTAGGATTTTGTTTGTGTCACAATAATAATTACCGGATCCCCCAGTAAGGCTCTGTAGTATTACAATGATCGCCCCTCACTGACAGTCGATTTTATATAGTCCCCCCTTTAACCTCTGTTAGCGACGACTAATCCTCCCACCAAACGATAAATATATCTTATTAACCAAGCGCGAGGGCCGTACTGGGAGAATATTGGCCCGAGGTCTTGACAGTACGGACCGAGCGCAGCGAGGTCCGTACAAAATAGACCGAGGGCCGCCATTCTTCCCGTACGGTCTCGAGCAAGCTTAGTTAATAAGAGATTTACTATACGACTGAAGTTCAAAGGGACACAAGTGCGGTATCATTCGGGACCATTCGGGACAGTGCCCGGTCCAATACTGAGAGAATATTGACCGGCAATAGAGCATTTTGATTGGTTGATTTTAGTTCTTGGCCCTCTGACTGCCCGAGTCGTGTAATAAATAAAAACTAGTCCCTAAACTAAATACAGTCGAACCTTTGTGAAGCGGCACCCTATAGAGGTTTTGCACAGCAGCCATGTTGGATGGCAGGAACAATAGATTATTTTATCCATGAGAAAAAAAAAATCTTTCTTATGCAAAATATTTTCATTGTTTCTTGCCATCCAACGTGGCTGCTGTGCAAAACCTCTATTGAGAGCTCCGTTATCAAAATGTCCCGAATTTGTAATTGTAACCTCTATTAAGCGTTCGCAGTAACCCCTTAGTGAGTTCCAACGACCTGTTTTTGTTGTCCTCCACCTGTATTGAACAGTCACTGAGAGCGCGACTTACTTACGTCAAGTGGTCAATTATGGCATAAATTGGCGTCGTTTATCCTTTTTTTTTGTAACACCCCTAATGTGGACAACCTTTACTGACAGGTCAACCTGTATTAAGCGGTCACCATTCCCTGTGGGTGACCGCTACATACAAGTTCGACTGTAGATTGATTTTGAATACAACAAATTAGTATCGTAAGAAAGACATAACAACGGTTAACATTTCCTGAATACTAGCTATCATGATTATACTTAACAACAAGCGTAGGGTTAAGTAAAACTCACCAATACTCCCGAGCTGGTCATCTTTTCTTTATATTTAAAGTCAACCACTGCAAACGCGACTAAATATGTACTCATATTGACGCTGGGCAGAAACTGTTCCTCTACAAGTCCATCTTTTCTGGTTACAAGCCGGGCCCGGGGCATGTTCGACAGGGCGTAGAGTTGAGGGTCGTGAATTATGGATATATTAAAGGACGCTTTAAAAGAGGGCTCGTCAAAACAGGGAAATGCTTTCCTAGCGTGCGCAGGCTCAAAATGAGATACTGCTAACAGCCTATGTGAAGGAAGAAAAACGTAGGAGTATAAGGATGCATAAGTGAACGTGTGCTGATGAGGCAAAATGTTACAAAAGAAAATTAAGGCGACATGGTGGATAATTCTGAGAAACAAAATCTTTCTCCCCACAAAGGACGAAAGCGTAAGCCAACAACTTAGCCAACAGCCGTGGAGAGCTTTTCGGCCACACTAATCGTGTTAGTTGGAGTGCCCATGCAGATGTGTCTTTTGGTGAATTTAATGCTGCAATAGCTGTTCAGGTTCTCTTTCCCCCACAACCTTCCACACCAAAAATTGTAGGCGAAAAGGGCAGAGTAAACCGGGCGGTTATTATCAGCAAGTATTTGTGCTTTCACTAGTTAAAACTGTTCCTTACAGCAGTTTTCAATCGTGTGTCGAAAGACAATGACCAAAGTAATCTCAACTACCAATCGGAACAAAGGTTGACATCATCATTCACCAATGAGAATTCAATGTAAAAACAAGCAACCTGTTTGAAGCGCTGGAAAACGCGAGTTGTCAAGTTGGGATTTTTTCTAGTATTGCATTTGATTGGTTAAAAGGTTGGCGCAGGTTCACTGGACCAATCACAGAGAGGAGGAAAGCAAAACCGGCCAAAGCAACCCAGGATCACTTTCGACACTCAATTGAAAGCTGCTCCATGAGTAATGACATGTTTCGTTTACTTTTAGTGATAACAAGCTTTCAAATTCTCCGAATTTTCCTCCATTTCTTGCGACAGAAAAACAAATGTACCAGGATGTCCGCTATTCAATAGAACTGACGTTTTCACACGTCTCTAATGAATTTGACTGCATTGAAGAATATCAGTGAATTAAATCGTAATATTTTGCACATCCTCTAAAAAATTCAACGACCCCATACCTTTTCTCTCCTGTTTCACTGCGGTACCAACTCTTGTAAAATCCTTCCAGTTTATCAGAAATCTTATTCTTAAACTGAAGAGTTACGAAATACGACTCTCCCTTAGAGAGATCTCCCTTAAGCTCTATACAAAGCTGTTGGTATTCCTTGAAAGCAAGGATTCTGTTGATAGCAATGTCGTGATTGTTCACTTCTGTAACGGAAACGTTCAAAACTTCTAGGTCTCCACAGTGAAGGATAACATAACGAGTTGTTTTCTCGCAGAGAATTCTCGTCTTAACTATTCCCCTATACTTCAGCGTTGTCAAATTCACTCGCAAATCCAGTTTGTAATTAACTGGTTTGAGATCCTTTGGAAGGCGTTGCTCTTTATGAGGGAACTTCTCAATGTTATTAACGGTATGAAACTCCACCTTCCCCTCCTCCCTGGTGCGGTGTTTGGACAGTTCTTGTGCATGCTCCGTGGAGTGCGATGAAAAGTCGTATTGGGTAACGACGCCAATTAATGCCACGGCAAAAACCAGCGAAAGGAGGAAAAATAGATACTTCAGAATTATTTTGTGTACTTTTCTTCCTTTCGTATCTACTCCCATCTCTTTCGATTCGAGATCATCGTCATCCATTCCCATAACCGCTACTGCATGTCATCTGAAATGGAACGATGTACACTTTATTGTTTTGATCCTCGTTGTTACTGGCGCGATTAGGGAATTTAAGCAAACCACGACGGCGACGGCAACGAGAACGTGGAAAAACAATAGATCTAATTGGCAGAACAATAGTCCGGCACGTGCGTTTTAAAACTTTGTACATTTCTTAGCCGTCCTTTGCATAACAAAAACGTGAAATCGCCAAAATTTGCGTCGTCTGCAAACCGAAACCGCGGCGACAAATTATTTTAATTTACATTTGGAACTCAACGTTACTTTTATGCGGTATGTTGAATTTGAGGTCTGGCGCCCTNCGCAATTTACCATTTCAACTTTGTTGATATATCCAGATTATTTCGTTACTCCCACCGACGCTGCCCCAAACAGTTTCTTTCGAAACTATCAGCCTTTATTCATAAGAGTTTGATGTGACAGCAGTAAGTAAAGCCTACAAGCAAAATATATAGCAGATAGTTTCATATTGTTTGTTTTGATTCGGATGGTAACCTTCCGACTATTTTATTCAAATATTTTTTTTTTACCTCAACATGTTCACGGCTTTGATTGAGGTCAAACCAGAGTTACTACTAACTCTGGTCAAACGTAAGGCAATTGATTGAGGATGACGACGGCCTGATTGTATAGGAACCAAACTAGATACATGAAGGATACAACATAATGGAGATTTCATGGGTTTGAATAATTTTTTCCATAAGCGGCTGCGGATGGTGTCGTAGGCGGCTGTGTCCGGAAAAGGAAACAGAAGGTGAAACCCAAACACGAGAGAGCCTGGGCACAGGCTAACCAGACGGCGGTAAGAGGTCTCATACCCAGGGAGTAGACCGCCGATAATCTAAAAACCCAAACGTATGGATGCCCGCGATCAAGGTTATTACAAATGTAGAGTCGTGCAAACGCGCACTACTTCCGGAACTTATCAAAGAAATGCATTGATCACAGTGTCCCGCCTAGTTGGCGGTTTCGTATATGCTTTAAAGCATTAGGCGACAAAGCCGCGGGATGTAGTCCTGTGGGCCGTTTTCTCAGATCTGATTCCGAATATTTTAGTCTACCGCTCAAAAACTGCCTGCTATACAGGCTGCAATCGCAGTTTTTGCAAACAACCAATCGCGGCGGAGCATTATGCTTCATTAAGTAACGCGTAACCAAAATATTTGCAGCACGTAAAGGAAACGTTACGTGTTACATCGTTTTCTAAACTGCCTTTTATTTCAAACAGGGCCGTAAATAAACATTTCGAAAAATTTTACACTTGAAATATCATGATTTTAGAGCTATTGAAGATAACTACCGCCACGTATCGACCGATTTACGCATCATCACAGCTGGACGCCAAAATTGGACAAGTGCGACACGACTTTATCATTTTATTATTTAATCCTTCCAGGGTAAACTTCAAAAGTCTTGTTCGCTTGGAACGCTCGAAACGTCAGCTTCAATACTTGGTAAACTGTGCACTTTTCATCCGCTTTAATTTATGTTTCCTATTGTTATACGAGTTGCATTGGGGTGTCAACTTAAGAATTCTACCTGTAGCACCTGCTATTCTAGCGAAGTCTTGCTGTTCAAAGTAGAAATCGCGTACTGATGACTCCCCAAGGAATATCTACAGAATGGTACTTTCTGGTATATATCTGTTAGTTCAGGCTAAGGCCATTAGCGAAATTTATTTAGAGTAGTAACGTTGGCGCATGTGAGTCTCTTGTCGAGAATTTTAAAGGTACTGTATTGTTATATATCCAAGTTATTTAGAACCTGGGAAGATCATCCCCTCTAATCATATCAAACTTTCACTCCTCTTACCTTTGACACATTTTCGTTTTTCGCACCTAACTTTTCTCACGTCATCGTTGAAAACGTATTGCTGTCATTTTCCTGGCCAAAAGCCAGCTATTCCCGTATTTAACATAACGAACTAGTGAATAGGCCCGCAGTCTTCCGCAAGTAAAGGTGAAGCAGCGGTAATGCTACCGAGGACAAGCGCGTCCATGACCTGTCGGTTTGAGAGAAAATAATTACGAACATAGTTGTGAAAGAAATTGAGTCTTTGTTAACCATAAAAATGGCACTTAAGTAGGCAGGTACGAAGCGTGCAATACTGGCGAAAAATATCTGTCGCCATGATTTTAACCGGCCCAGGCCGTTGAAATAAGAAAAATTTTGCTGTTTTAATCCAACAAAACCGTAATGTAAGCTACTGCTCATCGAAAACTGGGCTTTGTCTCGTCTAGTTCGTAAAAAATTACAGGAAACTACGTTTAACATCCACAATGACTCACAGAATAAGAAGAATTTCGAAGGGACGCACTCACAGTCCCAGACCCCCTCGGACAGATAGACCCAACCACTACACCACGGCTTTGGAAGCCATCTCGATAAGTAACCAAACACGTCACAATTATTACTAGAACTGCGAAGTCAAATATTTCCTGAACGACTTGAATGTAGACAAATTCAGTTTAATTTTTTTTTTATTAATTTATTAGATTCGCCTAAAGGCAGGGACACCGCAACAGCTTGTGCCAATTACTGCGGGCCCAGTAAACCCACCTATCCCACCCCAGGGGAGGATATCCACCACACAGTAATCTCGTGCGTGGGAAATTAACGTCTCCTACCCCTAACCTTGCAGGAGACGTGGCCTACGGTTTATTCGTCCTTATCCGAGAAGACTAGAATATCTATCCATTTCTTGATATTATAGAAAGGTAGCCAATTCTCCTCAGTTATTTTAAGGCCAGGAGTCTTGGTCCGACCGGGGCTCGAACCCTCGACCTCCCGGACAACACAATCCGGCTCTCTAACCAATTGAGCTAACCGGGGTGCGGTTAGCCGCAACTTTTTGCTACTTGCCAGTAGCTTTCACTTTATATAAAATTTTGGAGGTTCTTACCCTTTAGAGTCCTTACCGACCTACACAACACTTACATTCCACTAGAATAGCTTTAAGTAAAATATATTGGAGAAGTAAAAACTCTACCGTAAAAGGACGTAAAGACAGCAGAGTGACAATAACTCTCAAAAAAGAAACAACAACTTTGAGTTTAAATTTACAAGACATGTTTCGACATTCTGAAGATGACTGAAGAATGGCGAAACATGTCTACTGTAAAAGTAATAATGCTACTGAGACACCAAATCTTTTTCTTTCTAATTCTTTGGCTGGCAGCTAAGTGCAAATTAAATAAATGTTTCCGAAAGGGTTTGTCACGAGTTTTTGACAAGTGAAGCTCCAGTTAAACAGCATTATTGCTGACGCATTTGCCTACCAGTCTAGATGACCTCATGTTCTTCTGAACTCGACCAAAAGTGGATAAGCCTCAAGGCAGAGAAGACCTTCGAAACTAAACCACAACAAAAATTTTATCACCAGAGCCCTTTTGCATTGTAACACCATTGAGAAAAATCACAATGAAAAATGTCAGGGACAATGAATTTTAGGTTTTCGAAATGTTGAAACACGATCCCTAATTAATTCTTTCCGGGAGATTTTGTGGCCGGATAACGGCAGATTTGCTCTTAATCCGGGAGTTTTCAAGATCACCTGGTAATGAATACAGTCTGTGTTTTTAGTTAATGTTTTCTGTATACAAATAAAGAAAAACAAACCAACATATGGATATTGCTTTACACCGTGTATCCATTGCTTATGCTTGAGCTTAATTAAGCACAACAACTGAAATATTCATGCAGAGGGAACCATGTTTCGAGAACATCCTCAAGCCTTCTCCAGATTTCTCTTTGTTAGCTTCTATTGAAAGCTGAGTGTAACTTTGGGTTTTTACTGAAATTCTTTTCCTTGCGGAAAAAATAAACTAAAATGAACATTACCTGAAAAGGGCAAAACGCATCTTGACAGCTCTCAGATAGGAGTTACATCCTCTTCGTGAGTATCTGAGCTGTGTTTTTGAAAGAACCGCCATATTTGAATAAGCAGCTGATCGCGAACAGATTCCTGGGAAAGTAAGCTGCAATCGCTACTTTCAGCGGTTATCGTTTTGAACTCAGCTGCTCGCATAATTTCAATTAAGTTCAATTAATTATTTATTTTGGGTTAGTAACATTATTTCGCTGTGTGGTGTAAAATTCTGCAGATCTAAAATGCATCCTGATCGGGCAAACGTCCCTCTGTACATTTGTTGTTTTATTTTGTTACTGAATCAAGTGCTCCCCTCGGAAATGGAAAACTCTGGAGCAAGTTTTTCTTGGGATCCTCGTGGTTACGTATTTTACTGTCCCTGTATGGGTAAGTGGATATTCAGATGTGGACATTATTACGACCAACCGTCTTTTACTTTAACGCTTTGCACCCTAACATCAGTCTATACATTTCCCATGATACTGACAACAGAGATGCGAACCTGTGGAGATCTAAAATCTGGAAATTTTTCTCTTAATGCCACCACAGCATCAACCCAGCAGCATCCTCCTCAACTAAAAAAATGATGCCCCCCCTGATCAAATTGATCTCCTTTTCCGAAAGACGAAGGAAGTCTTTGTTTAGTTTCTGTGGTGTTGGTTTCTGTGGTTGTACAAAGAATGCTTTGATAAACAGGGAGAGGAGTTTGTAAAACCAAAATCATTTTGATTTGAATAAATCTGGGGATAGGAAGGTTAGCCTACTATTGAGCAAAGCCCTTGAAAGCTGAGAACTATATGGGAAACCAAGAGACGCATTCCGTTTCTCAGGGAGACTCCCAGACAAATTGAATTGCGAGATTCCTGGACATAATTAATCTGGGAGAGTTGGCAACAATGTGACAAGGAGAATTTGTTCAACTTTCCTGGTCTTATGTTGGCGATCATTTCTTATATTCTCATGATTCACCTATGTATTGTGAGGAGAAATTAGATTCTAGTCACTCTCTTGGGGTTGTTGGCTTTAAATTTGTTTTCCTTCTGTGAGTTTGCAAAGGATAAAAGTCATTGATACAATCCTTATGATAAGATTGTGGGAGTTTTTTAATAGGGCTCAAAATATGTCTGTCAGATGTGAAGCCTAGATTTTCTTCTTTTACAGGAAGATTTGGAAACCAGGCTGAACATTTTCTGGGAGCTTTAGCATTTGCAAAAGCCCTTGACAGAACGTTAATTCTTCCACCTTGGAGAACATACGTATGCTATGCATTTTTCTAATTTTTCAATACAGCCTCTTTATCTTGTACATGATGAGGACAATTCAAACTTAAGTTTAATCAGAGAAACCTTTCTTCCATGTTTACCCTTAAGGATGTAAGTTTTCAATTAGCAACTTGAAAAAGACTGCAAATTGTACATGATAAAATAATTATGCGATGTAGAATTTATTGGCTTTTAGTCTTGGGCTACCCTGACATATGAATTTTCTCCTGATAAGGGAAGAGTCAGAGTCCTTTTTCTATTTCATATAACTAGGAATCCTTGTTTGACATAAATTGGGTAATTAAGAGGGTGACCATAATTCTGGGGTTGGTGGGTCTTCAAAGATAGCACTTTGTAAGATGCTGAAAAGCCCACAATGATTCCTTTAGCAAGAATCAAATGCAAATGTGTCAGGCTGTCCATTCCAAATTATTACTCAGCGTAAAATGTTATGAGTGTTTCGAGTTCTTCTTTTAGAAGAAGTTTGACAATTATAATTTACTTTGACTAACCACTACCTTGAACCTTTATCATTCCAAACAGTTTAGATGAAGACTAACAAGGGCCCAGTGTTGTCCTCAACAATAAAACCACAGTTTTTATCTTAAACCAGAGTTGTTGATGTCTTTTCCATCTGCAGAAAAATGTACCTTTTTCTGACTTTTTCCAAGTGCAACCTCTTCAAACCTATCATAGGGTTATTTTAGCGGAGGATTTTATGAAGCATCTAGCTCCCACTCACTGGCCCAAAGGAATAAGGCGTGGTTACTGCTGGTTACCCCCTGGGTCTGATAGGAAATGTATTATGAAGGTAAAGAGGAGGCAGTGGAACAATAATTTCACATACAGAATAACCACAACTGGATTACTTTTTGTGAATGTGTATGATTGGTTTAGTATTTTGTTTTTTTAACCCTTTGACCTCTAACAGTGTCTGGCATTTAATTTCTCCTTACAATATCACCCCCAAATCAAACGTTAAGGTCACAAGAACAGAGGAAATAATCACAATCTAAAGCAGCTCTTAGTTGTTATACAAATTCTCCTTGTCAGCACCTTAGGAAATGAATAGAGAACAGTGTGGAGAATATACTTACTCCATAAGTGGAGGCGGCATGGCCGAGTGGTTAGTGTGCTGGACTTGTAATCCGGTGTCTTGTGTTCAAGTCCTCCACCCTGCCACTCGATGGATTTGCTCTCTGTTGCCCCTAGTTCAACTCCTTGGCTGCACACTGTAAATAGCCCACTGGTCTGCCTCCTGCCAGTGGGGATTTTCAAGCACTTAGTTAGTCTACATTGTGGTTGAAAATGCCCTATGGGGGAGCTTCAATTAACATATTTATTTATTTATACTTACTGATGTTAAAATATTTTCGTGTGTGTGTGGTGTAAAACCAAATCCAAACAATAATTTCTTGCTTGCTAGGAGGGTAATCCATTCAAACCGTTCTGGGATGAACTGGAAGTGGACTTTGATGAGAAAATTGTCTACCATCTTGGAATTCATATACAAGATCCTTATGAGAGGGATCAATGGCAAAGGAAGTAAGTGTTTTGGAAGGAAAGCATATGTTTCTTTATTAAGGAAACATTGTTACCTTTTTTTTTCTACCTCCTCTCACTTTTGAAGCTCTTCACGCTTACTGATCCTAGATTGAAACAGTCTTCTTCTTTCCATTTTCCCTTATGGATACTGCAGCTTTGTTAAAAATAAATCTTGGAAGGTAGGTTGCAACTTATCACCCTAGAAAACAAGCTGAAATTTTGCACATGAACTTAGTGAACTTAGTAACTTTGTGCTAATCTTAGCTCCATAAATTGTTTATCCATCCAAAGCTTAAAATTTCCCCCCTGGCATTTGAACTTTTAAAGATTGATTTGTTCAAATCCCCTTCCCCTTTTAGGCCAGAATTGTGTTTTAATGCCTCACTGAAGTGCCGGATTTGATGGTTAATTTTTTTGAAAAAGGCAAGATCAGCAATGCTGACTTTCTTGTAGACCTTTTCTTCTGAGCCATCTGCTTGCAAAAGTGAATTTTTTATCTGCAAACAGCTACATTTTAAATTAAGATAAAACATGCATGTTCCACTGGAAAGACTTGACTATGGTGGTTCAAATTCCCCACCCCAGCCAGGTGAGGTTCAAATTCTCAATGCCTCAGGAACGGATTACAGTCTAATGCCCAAGGGTTGCAGGGAAAGGGTGTTGAAGCTTTGAATCAATCAGCGCATGACTGGGTTGAAATTTCTCTTTCAATGAAAAATAATTGTCCCACTAACCAAGTTCATCTCAAAAGCCCTTAGCTATTTCTTTTGAAACTTATCCTTAAAGATACTTTAGAGATCTTTAGTGAAGTTAGAGTTTTCAATAAAAGCTGGTTACAGGCATCTATTGCCACCCGCAAGACCTCTTTTCACTGTCCATTTAGCCCTGCAAGAAGGCTCTTGTATTTGGGTTTGTCTTCCAGCCACCTTCAAGGCACACCCACCTATTACACCATGGCCAGCCCAGCTTATGGAAAATGTTACTGAATTCCCTGGTTAAGCAGCATCAATAACAAGTATCACTTAATTTAAATGCCTTTCCTCTCAGATTCCCATCATCAAGCCATCCAGTTCTTGCATTTAGAGGTGCCCCTGCTAGTTTTCCAGTTGAAGAACAGAATCGGCAGGCACACGCTTTTTTGAAGTGGTCACAGAAGATCAACAGTGAAGTGGATGAGTACATCAGCAACACTTTGCCTAAAGGGCCATTTGTTGGTATTCATCTGCGAAATGGAATTGACTGGGTAAAGATGATTCATTTGTACTTCATGTGCTGTAACTCACCAGGTCTTAAGGTAGCCTTTTCCGAAAACATCTTACCTAAGTAGAGAATCACGAGGTAATTTTTACGAAGTGATCCTAAAAAATGATAATTCTGCTTATAAGTGGCAAATGTGTCCGTTTTAATGAGAGTGAAATGTGTTGCACAAGCACAGAAGAGCAGGTTTCATTTCCAACTTCCTGTGCTTATACACGTGTTTTCCTTAATTCAACAGCGACAACAAAACAGCAACAAAATCTACTTATTTTAGCAATTTAAATAAATATCTACCTGCAAAATGGCAAAGTTGTTCAAGGCGATAGGGAAATAAATTTAGAAATAAATTCTTCACTAACAAGTTTGACGAAGCAGAGGAAATGACTAAGAGAGCATGCATATACACGAACGACAAATGAAACTAAACAAATTAAAATTTTCTAGATTTATCAATTAAAGTATGGAAGTCAACATAAGGAGGCAGGTTTCTAAAGAAACTGTGGTGCTGCGTCGGTGGGGGAGTGTAACAAGGTAGTAATTATTGGGTAATTTTGGTTTTATGAACTGAGTTGTTGATAATGTAAATTGGCCACCGTAAAGTCTTTTTAGCCTTGTTCTTGCTGTAACTTTTAAAATTAGTAATTAGGATCGGAGATACTAGCTTGTAAGCTACACTGAAATCCGAGGATAAATAAAGCTCATGTATGTAAATAAGTGTATTAAAGCTGACGTTTCGAGCGTTAGCCCTTCGTCAGAGCAAATAACGAAAGGCTAACGCTCGAAACGTCAGCTTTGAAACTCTCTACGATGGCCAATATACATTATCAGCAACTCAGTTTATAAAACCAAAATTACCCAATAATAACTTTGAGTTTTGCACTCAATGGAAAAGCGCTATGTAAATGAGAACCAACGAATTTCAGTCAAGCCTGAAGTGGTAGTATAAATCTAACCTGATATTTTTTCTTCCTGGAAGAGAAATGCTTGTGATCATGCGGAAGGCATGCCTCAATACATGGCATCACCACAGTGTCTGGGGTACTCACGATACAGAACTGTTACAAAGGAGCTTTGTTTTCCACCCAAGCAAGACATCCTTAACCGCACTGAAACCGCTGTAAGAAGATTTGGTGCCAAGGCTGTATTTGTGGCCACTGATAATGATCCAATGAAAGAGGAATTGAAATTCAGGCTACAGGGGCTGAACGTAAGTCGATTTGGTTGGAAATTACAGTGATGGAAAAGGAGCTACGTCATTTTTCTTTTTTGTATCTTAACAATTTTTGTCTGAATTCGTCACATGTATTCTGTTTACATACCTTCTTAAATCATCTTCCTTGGACTGCGAGCAATCTAAGGCAGTCAATTGAAATCGGCCCAAAAAAATATGCCAACGCATGAGGCGTAAGGAGCGAGGGACGCGCCAAGGCATTCGCTCTGAGAAAGGGCTAACGCTGGAAACGACAGCTTTAGAAACTCTGTACAGTGGTCAATTTAGGTGATAGAACCAAATTATCTTGTAACACACCACAGTTGAGAAAACTCCCCTCCCCCCACCTCCTTACGTTCAGTGTATATTGCTTCCTTACTAACGTTGTGGGTTCTCAAGTAGCGCCTGTGTCTTCGTTACACTCCCTTGGCGTTGGTGTCCCTCATTATTTGCTTCATCCAAACTTTTATCAGCATCCACTATAGAAATATACGGGCCAAGAATGACTTCGACTGAAGAAGATCGACTTTGCCAAGAAATCGTTACCACTATACGAAGTGATCAGGAAAATTTGTGGAAAATTGTAGGATGATAAAGTTCTGAGAGATTTTTCTTCTCGCGTTTATGTTTTCCTCATTATTGTGTTGCGTACCTCTCTCCTTCTGTTATCCAAGTATTCTTCTCTTTTTTTATATAATCCAATACAGGTGCAGATTTTCCATATCAATCCTTGGTTACCGCAGATAGACCTTGCCATTCTTGGTAGAGCTGACTTTTTCATTGGAAACTGCGTGTCTTCTTTTTCTTCATTTGTGAAACGGGAAAGAGACTCTAATGGAAAACCTTCTACATTCTGGGCTTTTGATGAGTGAAAAAAATCAGTGTAGCAGTACACCAGCACAGGTGCAGTATCATAGCTCCGTCAGCCGCATTGACTGAAAGCAACTTCACCGAAATGCAGTAGGATTTCTCATGATTCCCTCATATGGACGTACTTATTGTACATGCGCAGCACAGAGCACGGCAAATAGAGTTCGACAGCGATCTGAGGCCAGGTACCTAGGATTCAAGGCTTATGTCGCAGAACATAGTAATGGCCTGTGCCCAATAGTCTATTAGGAATGCATTTGAAACACGGAAACAGGTGACAGGTCTGAATCATGAAAAGATGTTATGGGACACGTGGACGTACCGTGTGTAGCATTTTAACTTTAGCCACAAGTTACCATCAGAGCGGGAGTGTGCCCATGGTTTGATGTTAAAATGAACAATGTAGGTCATACGAGATTAATCATTGGATAGGTACTTAAAGCTGTCGGGTTACCTTGTAAAACAAGACCAAGGGCCATCATAACTTAAACCTTTAATGCGGGAAAGCGCGGTTAAAGAAGTCGCCATTGAATTCAATTTTGTATCTGATTGGTTGACAGGGTGGCGTGAGCATTCTATACCAATCAAAGAGTCTAGTAAGGAAACGGTTGGTCTTAATAAAGTGTGTAGAGAGTGTCTGAGGTTTGGGGCCTATAAGGGGATAAGTGTCGAACCCCTGAAAGACAGATTTTAAAAGGAATTACAGTAAACGAAAATAATAAATTGAACTGGAAATAAAATATTGATAAATAAAATAAAAAGAGGATTAGCTTATTGTCACCTCGTAACATAAAATTAGAGCAGAGACAACGAAATTAGAGAAGCACACATCACTTTCAAAGCGAAGACATGACATCATTTTTTTACCCTTTAACACACTCATTGAAATAAAATGTTTTCATTCAAACACTTCGATTACTTCCTTGTTAATAGTGAGAATGGTCTTTGCTTGCCCATGACGCTCTTTCACGATATCAAATAACGGCATTTTCGAAAGATGAAAAGGGCGGGGTTAAGGGAAGGGGTAGATGTCCAGGGGGGCATGTGACCCTACTCCACAGTACGTCAACAACCTAATATGCCAGTTATGCCTCTATGATTAAAATAAATGGACCCCCTCCCAGATGCGTGGGAAAATCCTGTTTATTCCCAGTTCTGTCCTGAAGAAAATCTAAAAATTTCTGGTCATTTTAAATCACGGCCCAGTTTATCAAAGGGTGGACAACGCTATCCAACGGACAATACCCTATCTAGCGGATAGCTGTTGGTTAAATAACCTACTGTGCTATCCACCGGATAGGGATTTACCAGGAGCCCAACGATAAGTAATGGTTCCCGGATCTACCCAGTATTTAACAACTATCCACCGAAGTGGAGGTGGTTAGTGGTGGATATTTACCGAGCGGCGAAGTAAATATCCACCGCTAACCACCGACGCTGAGGTGAATAGTTGTTTTAGTATATGCTAAAACAATGAGATAATATACACCACCGTTGTTAGTTTGAGTGATTTCTTCGTTTGTATCGGATGCAAACTGGGACGCCATTTTTTCCCAAGTTGCTCGGAGGTAAATAGCAAAGGATATTCGGAGTTTGACTAGCCAATCAGAGCGCGCCTTCAACGCTATCCATTGTTTTAGTAAATACAGTTACCCACCCTTCGAACAACCGGAGCCAGATGTTTAGATTTGCTAAGATGGCAATTCAATCAATTCGATAACGTTGTAGGTTTCGTCAATTTAGCAGAAATCAAATAGACTCTCATAGCCTACAAGCGGATGCTTACTCTATGTTGAAGCCAAAAAAAATTAATGGATATCCTTTAAGGATACTTTGTTTAATGAAATTCTAATTTTTCTTATCTAATTTTTTGGTAATGTTGACAACTGCTGCCCGTTTCACTGAAAATTCTATAGCCTCCCTTGAAGTTGTCTAAGTATTCCATTCCTGAACGCCACGCCTTGAAACGATTCTCTTACTAACCAAAATAATTTTCATAAGCCTGTAAACTCTGCACATTTACAGTTTTATCGCACAGATTCTTTTAAGATCAAAACTGTCCTTTTTATTCATTTATTAATTTATTTATTTACTTTTTAATATAGGGGAGTGCCTCGCATGGGACCTCGCGTCACTTTCGCACCCCCCCCCCTCCTTTTGGGTCTTCGTAATATTGTACAAAGTGCTACTGTTGTGTGTTTCTTTTTTTATTTATTTTTATTTTTTTATTTTTTAGAAGTCAAACTCAATAAAGTTGTTGAAATAAAAATAAATAAATAAATAAATAAACATATAAGACATGGACTTATCTGGAGCTTATCTTTTGAGCTAAAAAATGGAGAACGTCTGTACGTTGGCTAGTAAGCATCTATAATATGTTTCCCTTCTTGGAAGAACTTTCGTTGCTTGTTTGCTAATATCCTACCCGAACCCCCCCGGGAAGAGTTCTGTCATGGAACCAAAATTTGAAATGCATTCTGGGTCACACAAAACACGTGAGCGTGCAGCGGCCATTGTGAGTGCGGTGGAGGAAAGGCAAGGTCAGTATGCCCGCATTTTCGTTTTTTTGTATCATTTCTACTTACATGAAACTTTTACATTGACCACGGTCAAGGATAAACTGATGGTTTAACAAACGGTGTAGGTGTCAGAGCAGTCGGTGTTCATGATAATTGTAACACACTTTCATTTAGTTAACCACGTGCGATTGAAGTCGTGAAGCGAACAAAATTTTCATATTTTTCCATCTTCAAAGTATTGTCATTTAGGTGTAGGGTTAATAACTTATTGGTTAAGAATTCACTTAAAAACTTGGAGTGATTGGGGAATAGTTAAAAAGGTTTTCAACGTACCTTTCAACTTACGTGTACCTAACGCTAAACAAAATATGCGGCAGTTGGAACTGATTTATATTTGAACACCAATCTTAAAGCAGCCAAACAGTGCAGTCTATCTGTCTACCTATGGGCATTTGAGCTACAGCAAGTAACTTGCTTCGAGTTTTACTCGATGAAGGGTAGTTCGATCGAAATTGCCCCTATATCTTTACGTACTAAGCAGTAGATTAAAGTGAAGAAAGAACTTTGAAGTGAATGGAAGAAATAGAAGTTATGCCATGGCTGTATGCCCGGCAGCCGGGCATTTAGCCACAGAGTTACTGTCGGGAAGTTAGTCTACTTGAGACAGCGCCCAGCAGTCTGATCAGAAGCATAGAATTTCTAAGTGTTGACAACTAAAGGGTATTGGATGCACTAGCTTGGAGAATTTGACCACTAAAAAAAAAAACAAATGAAATTGTGGAATTACAGAGTATTTCTAAAGAAACAAATGATATTCTTCAGAAGTTTGAAATAACCTTTCTGTGGAAATTCTGTGAAAATTTCTGACTGTTGGATATTTAGTCTATGCGAGACTATGCCTGACTGCTGTGCATTTAGCCACAGCGTAAGAATTAACCTACAGATTCATGGGTTTAAGACTGACATGGAAGTACACACAATAGGAAGCTTTATCAGTGAAACATTGCCCATTTCTCACACACCGCTGGAGGCCATGTCAAGCTGACTGCTGCAACTTGACCTTTATTTGCAAATTCAAAGCTAATACAAGTAGCATACACTAAGACCAGAAATAACGAAAAAAGTTCCAGGCTAGTACACTATACTGGTATTGTTTAAACATTCAAAATCTTTGAGTGGGTGGGCCGGAAAGTCGGCAATGGCGGATGTAGCATAAACAACTGCCCGTCCCATAGGTGACATGACCTATGGGGTGCCAGCGGCATGTGAGAAAAAACATTTTTCACTTATTTCGTTCCACTCGGCCAGTGGAAAATTACTCTTAGTAAAGACCTGATGTGATCAAACCCTTTTTAAAAAATCAGGAAAAAATTTAAAAAAAATGCTATGGTAGCAAGGCTGTGCTCTAAGGAAATTTGAATGGAGTCCAGTGCTCTGAAACATGAAATCTAGGGTGCCTAGCATAATTATGGTTTGTATGAAAAAACTAAAAGCAAAAGTAAAGCACCAGGGGCCACTGGGCGCTACTAGACCACAGCCTTGGGTAGAGAGTATAAGAATGATTTAATTTGTGCTGAAAAACAGTTTTTGGAACCTAAGAAATTTACTCAAAAAGAAATCTGAAACAAAGTAACAGCTATTGTTGTTACTATGAAAGTATACGTACATGAAATTGAAATCCATATAGTGTTTTGGAATACTAACTGGTAACTTAACCCTGGGTAAAATTTGGTGATGCAGTTATCATAAGTTTAGCATTGTATTCTACCTGTTTACTTGTGATACAACAAAGTCTCCTCTTTTTTCCATCTGCATCCAATCTGTTTAAACAATAAGGAGCAACAGTTAAAACTTTCTAGACTTGTACAACTCTTTTTGTGTTATAACCAGAGCAGCAGCTTTTTGTGAACCACACATTCACTGGAATGATGAATAATCCAAACTTTCGTTCTTCTGAAATGAAATGAATGAACTTTCTTTTTTTCACTGACCAGTGAATTCCTTACTGCAATTGATTATTTCACTATTTCTTAATTCTTTTTACTCTGCATTGTTGACGTATATTTGTCTTTCTCTCCAGAAGGGAAAAAGTACACTTTTCTGTAGCTCAAGAAATCTATAATTTGCATCCAGCCACATGAATGTTGCAGATCCTTTCTGTGAGGAAACTTACAGCTGTCTACAAAGGATGATGTTGCCCAGCAGTGTAAGTTTTGCAACAATTTGAATTTTGTCATTTAGAGGGCAGAAGGGTTTAGAACCTCCTAGGTTCATTTAAGCAGCTACACCTGTTCTAGTGTCAAGTGTCATTAAGTATACAGTTGGCTTAACAGATTCATTTTGTGTCCACTTGATGAGGGAACTTGCTACGTGCATGTACATGTATGTGTATAGTTGACTGCTACAGTGCTCCTACAGAGATACTTTTTTTTCAAGTTATTCCATCCTTTCACTGCTATGATGACATAAGAAGGCTTAAACACTGAGTGAAGTACTACCCCACTTAACTCTGAATGAAAACAGGGTCTGAGCAGTGAATCAATTGTAAAAGAACTTTCCCTTTGCTCTTGATTATTCAAGTTAGTTAATGTTCTGTGAAACTTAATGTAATGTTCCCCGGTACACAGTGAAAGAAAGGGAATACTTCTTAAATATTCTGACCAAAATACTTTCTCTTATTATTCCTCAGGTAACAAGCTCCTTGCTGGGCTATCCTTCGTTAAGGTAACTTTTCATTAATGTTAACAAATTTCCTGAATCCTTCTTAGAAGTTGATGTATTTTTGTTTACTATACGTTGAATAATTACAGAAGTAACTGTAACAAATGTGTCTACAGACATTGCTGGTCAATTGTGTTGAAAATCAAAGTG